GCTGCTAGGATTATAATCGCATATAGAATGAATTAAGAGAGATCTAATTTATTCTAGGACACCTTCACACACACTTAATCGTACGCTCGCTCGTTTTGGCAATAATTTAGCTACCTATCGTATGAGAGATCAGTCTGGTACCCTAATTTATTGTAATCTATGCCGCGAGAGTGGTAAGAACTTGGTATTCACTAGCGTTGATCAATTAAATAACTTTCATGTGATTAAGTATGATCAGCCAGAAGTCTGATTACCTTGGAATCAATATGTGTTCCCTTCGTCATTAATTAGAAAGAACCCTTTAGGGAACTGGGATTGATCTTGCGGCGTAGAGTACAATAAATTAGGGAACTAGACTGATTTCTAATGTGACATGTATCTAAAATTATTGCCAAAATGAGCGAGCGCACGGTCCCTTAATCGCTACTAATCTATTAACGAACGACTAAGAGTGTGTGAAGGTGTCCTAGAACAAATTAGATCTCTCTGAATTTATTTTACATACAATTATAATCCTAGTGGTCATTTAAGGTTACAAGAGATAACAATTAAATCATTCATACGCAAATTAAATAAAGATTCATGCAATTTAAACCATAAAGAAACTAGTCATACATAATAATTAACCACTTCATCATTCCCTAATTAAAACTACTCACAACTCATAATTAAAGAATCAGTAGAATTGGGATGAAAATAATTAATTGTTATTAATTGAAAAGATAGAACTTACAAAGAATCCCTAAATCTTGAAGAACAAGGCTGAAAAAGCTCTCAAAAGTCGAAATAGGGTTCATCTCTCTAAGCTCCAGTATGAAAAACGGCCAAAACAAGGCCTTTAAATAGAAAAAATCCAAAAAGTAGGCGAATTGCAGATCGCACGGCGTGCGGGTCACACTGCGGTCGTGCGAAAAATAATCTGCGCCGATTTTTTACTCCGCCTGCACGACGTGCGCACACTTCTGTGAGGTGCTTCTGGACTGTGGGGCATGCAGTTTCAACCGCGGGGCATGCGGTTCAAACTTCTTGACTTCTAGCTCTCAAAATCACCCATGGGCATGCGGTACTGACCCACGGGGAACGTGGATGGCTCTCGAACCGTTTTCTTGCTATTTCTTCCCCCTTTGTTCCCAATCGATCCTATCTTCAATCTTTGACCTTCCCAAGCCTCAAATTGTGTCTCGAAATCATCCCGTGGACCTCTGATGCCTCTCGCTATCTCTCGAACACATCTCGAATCATCTTAACATAAGCTCAAATGCCGATGCTGGGTCTGAATTCTTCCTTTTCTTCAATGAATGCAAACCAAACTCGGTAAACCGTGACTTGAGCTAAATAAACAATTTGTGACACAAATAAATAAGGAAAAGTGACAAAACTCAGATAGTGTTTTCCATTGATTAAAATAAGTGCTTGTGAGCTTTTAGCTTAAAAAAAGCAGAAATTGGTGTTTGCAAACAACTACTTTTACTTTAAAAAGGCATTTTTAAGCTAAAAGTTAGAAGCGGGAGCTGGGGTGCTTCCAAGTGCTTCTTGGTTTTTTGTAATTAATTCAAAGTTCAAGGAGGGCTATAATGGAGCGTGTATTTGCCTTGGACCAAAGATACCCTCGTCTCCTAGTACAGTTTCGTCCGGCTCCATGTCTCGCTTTCAGACCTTAGTCAGCTGGCTTTATCAAATGTTCAACAAGAACAGCGATGAAATAGCTTCAACTTCTGCATAATGTCCATACGTTTATGAAAATAAGGATGGTTTACAAGAGGAGAAGTCTTCATCATCATCGCTCAGTTTTGAAGTTGAGAAGCATGGAGATAAGGGAACATGAGAGTCAAATTCCAGTAGACCCTTACTGGAAGCAATTGGAAGAACAAAATTCGATGGACATGGAAAAAAATTGCAGGAATCAAATTCAGAATTTTTGAAAATCCATCCAAGCTCTGGAACTAGCTCCTTGAATAGAGTGCTTGCTGCGATGAAAGAAAGCTGAGGAAAGAGACGGATCCTTTGGCATATACTCCAATCTACTAAAACAATAACTTTTTTATCAAACACTCTACCTTTTACCTTTTAATAAAAATCACTTCTATTTCCAAACACTATCTACTTTCAACCATGCTTGTTGTACCCACCACTTTATACCCACCTTATACCCACCTCTGTGAAGGCTATATTTTTGTCTGTGAAGCCGGTTCACAGACAAAATATGTCTTTGAATTCCTTCACAGACATATTTTGTCTGTGAAGGAATTCACAGACAAAAAAAAATAACTTCACAAACATGGGTGGGTACAAAAGTGGGTATAAAAGTGGGTACAAACATCATTTTCCATCTACTTTTACTTAAAATCATTTTTCCAATAATCTCTTAAAAAATCACTTTTGAAAAGCACAAGCAATCACAAACACTCCCAAAAAAAAGCACTTTTGGAGATGTATGAAAAAAGTGATTAGTAGGAAAAGTTGATAATGTTTGAGAAAAAAATGATTTTGAAAAGTAAAAGTTGGTAGTGTTTGGTAAAATAAGTGCTTTTTGTGTAATAGAAAAGGGAAAAACACTTTTCACACGCAAGGCGAGAAAAAGTAAAAATTGGTAGTGTTTGGTAAATAAGTGTTTTTTTAAGCCAAAAGCTGATAAGTGCTTTTTTAAGTGATTGCAAACACTCCCTAAATGTGTGTTGAAATAGAAGCTGATCAGTCTTATGGGGACAAAAGTTCTCCGCGTGCCCAATGATAATAGAAGGAGAGTTCTTTTGTTACGAACATGAGAGAAACTCCCACATCTCTCTAAAATTCCAGCCACCTGAATCCCTAAATGGACTGCCGGCACCCATGCTGGCACTGCCGGAATCCTGCCCCTCACTTCTTTGACCACGGATTCGATGAGTCTGATCAGTCTTACGGGGACAAAAGTTCTGATCTCCTTCAAAATTGGGACAACAATAAATGGAAAATTGGCTAAATTTTATGAGACGGAGGGAGGTAGTATGCGTTTTTAGAACAATTACATTACATATATAGAAATTACTTCAAATAGGACTAAAGCTATGGCAAAAACTCAAAATAGGACTTGCTATGTTTTTTATTCCAAAATAGGACCATAGTGGTCCTATTGGAAACATACCCATTTCTTCCTTCCATTCTTACCCCTCCTTTAAATATTACTCCCCCCGTCCCGGAAAATTGTTCCCGCATTGACTTGGAACGGAGTTTAAGAAAGTGAGAATAAAGTGGAAATGTATGGTTGTGGTTAAGTAAGAAAAAGGTAAATGAATTGTAGCAACAAAAAACTTTCCAAAATGGGAACGGGGAACATTTTTTTGGGACGGCCCAAAAAAGAAACAGGGAACAATTTTCAGGGACGGAGGGAGTAGTAAAAGATAGCTAAAAGTCATAATTAAATGTTTAATTCATAATAAATTCGAAAAAATTTCAATAATTCGTAGAAAATAATAAAAAAATTAATAAAATTTTTATAAAATAAAAAATAAGAAAAAAACAAGAGCCGGCGGTGACAATTTTTTTTTTGATATTTTTTTTATTTTTTTTAATTTTTTATATATATTTTTTAAATTTATTATTATTCAAAATATTTTTATTAATTTTTTGGTATATTTTACGAATTTTTATTATTTTTTATTATTTTATTATGAATTAAAACATTCCAATAGGTATAAGGGTATATTTGTCCAAGACACACATAATTAGTCCTATGGAAACATAGTTTATTTTTTGTCCTATTTGTGCAAAGTGAATGACTTTTAGTCCTATTTTGATAATTAACTCATTATTTAAAGAAGGGGCATTTACGACGAGGTTGCACTGAAAAATCAATAATCATGTTTTTGTACTTCAACTTTTGGACTTATTAGGAGTTAGGACGTTTATAATTTGATTATGTGCATGTTTGGTAGACATAAGCTCTTACCTTCTAAATTTTGTACTATTTAAAAAATCTCTAAAGACTACTAGCTGTATGTTTAGTAAGAGTATGTTTGGCACAACTAGCTGAAAAGATACATTTGTGAGCTTTTTAATAATTGTTAGCTTTTAGTGACTGAAAAGATCTTAAAAAGAAAAGGTGGTAGCTGTTTGGTAAGAAGCTGACTGTTTGATTTAGTTCGATTTGGTACACAAGTTGTTAGGACTAATAAATATTAAAAGTCACAGCTTCAAAAATGTAATTCATACAGCAACACAGAGTTCTAGAAGAATTAATGAAGCATAAGAATCCACATTTTTTTTATTAAAAAAACTCAAACTTTCAAGAATAATGCTCAAGAATTTTGATCATTTCATTAATGAGTAAGAACATTAATCATTACACATAAGGTACAAGTATGGATGCAATGCTTTTCTTCTGAATAATTGTTTTCTTTTCATTTCTATTTTGTAAAATTTTGCACACATATTTACGGTTATATATTTACGTTTTTATGTGTTAGCAATATAACGATGAAATAAAGTAATAGTTAAAATATTTATTTTCTTAATAATTAATTGATGACATACTAGTGCCCCCTCCTCCCCCTCCTCCTCAGCTCTGCTCGCTCCACCCCTCTCCTTCCGTTCTTCTTCTTCGGTTTGCCTGGGGAGGAGGAGGAGGAGGAGGGATGGTGAGACGGGATGAAGAATGGATATAAGAAAAGTCTAGGAAAATCTATGCGATGAGAAGAGACAATTTCAGAGAATTGATGTACTAAAAATGAATTAAAAGTCCACGAGTATCCATGATTTAAAAGTCAATAAGAATTAACAGAACTTTGAATACGTCTAGACTTTTATAGTCTTTCCATAGTTTTTATTGATTACACCTTGACTTTTGTAGACTTTTAAAAGTCCACATTGAATACACCTGAGCTTTTAAAATCCCTAGATTTTTAAAATTTTGCCACTAACTCCTAATACAATACACCCCCAAATTTCTAACTTAATTTGGCTAAAAAGAAAAGGTAACACTCGAGGTATTTATCTGGCCTAAGCAAAGTGATGTTAATTTAATTTGCTACCCTACCACAGTCCACAGCGGTCATGAACCACCCCTTTTTCCCATGAGGCTCATTTGCTATAATTTCATTTGCCACTAGCAAAGGCTGCTGATTTGGATTGTAAGTATATTCTCTTCTTCTTTTCTTACTCCCAAATCTATATCTATATATTTATACAGTATATAACTTAGAGTCAAAGCTTCTACTCCATCATCATCACCAACACTACCATCTCATCGGATCTGCAAGAATTGAAGAGACCTGACTATGGATATCTCTTTCTGCTCCTTAGAAAGGGTCGGCTATGTTCAGTGCAATTTCTGCAGCACTGTTCTCGCGGTATACATACATCCATACATCTCGATTATTTTGATTCTGTATATCTATATCTGCTTCATCACATATATATCTATATATATGTATATACATTTAAATACCCAAATATAAATTATGCTATACCCTTCCGTATAATAATATAACTACAATTTAATTCACCAACCATCAATGCAAACATATGTTATACTACCTTAAAATATCATACAAGATTATATGAAATTAAAGTGATGTGTGCAGAGAAGTATTAAGTGTTTTATAATAATCTAGAATTTCTTAGAGAAATGAGAGTTAATTCTGAAGCGGGAGCTCGTGATCTAATGGGGTCTGTTGTGATTCTGAGTTATATCACCTACTTCTCGATTGAATTTTAAACTAAACTTTTGTGGATATGAATAATATGCTTCAAAAATTTCATCAAAAGCTTCCTCCGGGAGCTGTTTCAAACAGCGACTGCCGAACGGAGGATCTTGTCCGGTCGACGGCTGAACGAGATTTTTTCCCTTATATATGAAACACATTATTTGTGTGTGTGTGTATGTATATGTATTCTGGAGATTCTTTCTATATATTCAAGAACTTGAAGTAGGAAAGAAAAGGTTATAAAGGTTATTTGCCATATTGAAGAACCCTAATGTGAATGGAAAGGAAATCGATATCCATCCAACTGAAAATCTCTAAGAACCACTGGTGTGCCTTTGGCCTTTCCTAAGGCATTAAATTACGGAATTCTTTTTTCTGAATCTCATCCTTATTTCGAAATTTATTTGCATCCGAAAACCTAAAATTGAGTTGCAAATTCTAATAGTGAGCTAATTATTTAAACAAAATCTAAGAAATTTAACCAATTTTTGGGGTGTTGATCAGTTGAAAACTTAAATGATTCCAAATAGAATTGAGTCCCTTTTTAAAGTGAAAATGAAGTGTAAACTTTTGTTTTTCCATTGAATTAGTATTTATTTAATTTGAATAAAGATCTGGCTTGACCGGATGACAGCAGAGAAATGTTTTAATTTATTTCTTTTGATTGATTATTTTTTTTCTAACTTTATTATTCTGTTTGAGCTGAATATAATCCCTCCGTTCCGAAAAGGTTGACCAAAGTTGACTTTCACGTGGATTAATAAAGTAAAAACTGTGTTGTTGAAATTTGTGCAGAGGGGAGAGATTTAACTTAAACCACATATTCCTTACTTTAAATAGAAATGTCAAATCTTTTTGGGACATCCAAAATAGGAAATTTGATCAACCTTTTCAGGACGGATGGGGTATATAATTAGGGATTTAGTTGATTTTAAAAAAATGTTGACTAAACAATTGAATTAGAGAATCATACTACCACATTTTCAAGTCAATGTGATAAACTTTGATTAATGATTTTGAATAATACTCCGTACAATTTTGTGAAAGTTTTTTTTATTGTACTTCTCTGAAAGTTATAATTTTTTTTATGAGTGTCTTTAACATAAAAATTTCATACTCCATATAATTTTTTTTATTATATAATGTAGTATACCTTTTTTAAAATATACTCCGTAAAGTCTAACAAAGTAACTAGATTATTAAGAAATGATAAAGTTTAAGGAACAAATGGAGTATATTCTTAATTCTCCTGATCAAAAAAGAAAAAAAAAATGATTTATGTGCATACGAAAATAGTTACGGAGTACTTATTATTTGATTAATGATTGAAATTAGACTAGTTTTTTACTAGTGCTTTTACTAATTTAAGTGCACAAAAATATACTTGCATTTTTCTAATTTTGAGGACATTTAATTACGGAGTATTATGATGCTATAATAATATAATGCAGCAGCCCACCTTGGTGATGGATGGTGGGTTCTTCTGTTCACACCATTAAATTCCATTTCCAGTTTCCATATGCAGTACCCTTTCTAAGTGTTTCTGACCTCTACATTCTGCATATTTCTTTCTTTTTTAAACCGCCTTTTATATGGAGTATATGTGAAATACGTCATTCTAAATTATCAACGTACCCACTATGCTTAATAATGTTTTTAGGTATCTCCATAAAAAAAAGTTACATAAATATGAGGAAGTGAGAAAAAGCATGTACATATACAGTTTGAACCAAATTAAAATAAAATAGCTACATATTTATGATTAAAATTAATATAGAGTAGTTTACAAAAAGAAAAAAAAATCACTTTTAGTCCTATGAGTTTTATGTAAATTTCACATTTTGTTCACTTTTGATACGCGTCTATTGTTTTTCGCTCTTATATGATCTTTTCGTCAATTTTTCTGGTGATTAAAATTGCCATAAACATTAGTCAAGTTCAAGAAGCGGATAAAACGAATGTCGTGGATGATATAAAACTCATAAGACTAAAAGTGGAATTAATTTTTACAAGAATGTGACTAACGGCTGTTGTAATGAATTAATCATGATCACTTAAGAATTATGTTAGTAATATTTTTGGGGGGAAAACCCAATAAAAATCATGTGCCCATAAACATTGCAAACGACGACTGCACAGCCTGCACTTATATATGGAGTTTATGGTAACATTGTACAATATTCAAGTTAAATCATGCATTTTTCTGTAGTGAAGGAAGATTTTGATTTGTTATTGCAATATTACTGCATTTAATCAATTAATAATTATTTTCACATGTAGAACAATTAAATTTGAAATTCATATGCATCATACTTATTCTCATTTTTTATGGAAATAAGAGTTTACATTTTTAAAATCTCATTTTTATATAATCCGTATAAAAAAAGATGGGAACCAGGTGGATTTATTATTGGTAATTGGCTAGAGGCCTGGGAAAAGGATTAGGTCAAGTCATGTCATTTTCGCTTGGCGTCGGCTTTCATCGATCAATCTCTTTCTGAATCACTGATCTGAGCAATTCACATTATTCCCAAACAAAAAGTCATCAATAGCTCATAATTATTGAGCATCCAAATAATGTCAGGGATGGGAAATGAAGCAAATTTGGAGGAATCAGCCCTAATATTTTACTGAAATTTATGCCAATATCATTAATAAAACAAAACACAAGAAAAGGTAAGGGGATTAACTAATTAAGTCCTGAATTATAAGTTCATTGTTACGTTATTCAATTAATCAGCATTCCTGCATGCCATGTGAAAACTACGGAGTACTCCGTAGTAAAAACTACTCCCTCCGTCCCTAAATGTTGTTTCAATTGCGGATTACGAAAGTTGACCGACGATAAAGTTAAATGGTCCATGTGAAAACTCGGATTATTTTTAGTAAATAAAATTTACATATTCAGAAACTACATTAAACCCGCTACAAACCTGCAAAAAATAATTCAACTTTTATAAAATTTTGATATAAAAAGTAGGAGTTTAAGAGTGATTTAAGTTGACCCTCGATAAACGAAATGAAACTTCTTTTAGAGACGGATAGAGTATGTCACTTATTGAAATTTTGTGCAGAGTAAAAGAGAAATAATAAACATAACCATAAACCATTTAAGGGACGAAAAATTGGGATGATAAGAACAAGAAAATTGATAAAATTTAAGGGACGAAGGTTAGGTATTCAAGATACTCATGTGGGGATAGATGAAAATTAGACGTTAAACCCCTAGCCTTACAATTGTATCAGAAAAATGACAAATAAAAATGACGATGATTATTGAAATAACAAGAGTTAGTTGAACTGATGAAAAACGAATGATGTCACACCCAATACTATGATCGGTAAAATATAAACTACTCCGTAATAAATTACGGAGTAATATATTAAGATTTCAAACTAGTCCATATATTAGCGTTGACCTGGAAGCCTCGAGCCTTAAGAGTTTCATTTATGAATATTAAATACTTTCGAGATTTAGGGCTTGTTTGGTATGGACATTTTGGAGGTAAAGGGAGAGAATATTTGATTTTTTATTTTACTAATTCATCTAATTTGTTAGTACTATACCACAAAATCACAAATTACTACGTACATAATTAGTTAAATTATGTGTTTTTACATGATACTGTGTTTTATCTTCACTTTCTTTCAATTTTTGTAAATGTAGAAATTATTTTAAATTGAAATATGACTTAGATGTTGAGGTTCTGATTCCTTGAACACATACAGATAATCTGGTGTAACATCTTGTTTTGACATTGTATGAAACGAAATGGTTGTAGAAGCAACAAAACCTGATCATACCGGTCTGTAGAATATCCACAAAATTGAACCAATTCTTGGGATTATTCCCCTATATACTGCCCAACCCTAAAATTAATGAAGTGGCCTAATTTCACGAGTGCCTTGGTTTTTGCACAGTCAAATTGCATTCTCTTTTTGTCTGAACCAGACCTCATCATAGTACGCTTCCATATGTCTGGACACTGTAATGGTAAGGTAACTGGTTCCTCCCTCACACCAAAGATTTGTTACTTTGCTTCCACTTTTCTAGTTAGAAAATTTTCACTTTAGATTGATATAGGAGTACTTATTTAAATATGCACTCCTCTCTTTTTAGTTAACCAAATTAAACTTTTAAAGTGAAGTCTAATTTTAACTGATTATATATTTATATACACAAGTATTGATAATATGAAAATGATACAGTATATAAAAGTTCTTTCAAAAAAAATATTGTCACGAAAATATAAAATTATTAAATTTTGCATAAATATATTAGTTAAAACAAAATTTCAAAGTTTACTATATTTGACCGGAAAAGTCATAGATAGCTTGCTAAAATAGGACGGAGGTATGATAATCTTATAAGAAAAAAGTAACTAATTAACGATGTTCATATTACTTTTATGTATTATAAATAGTAATAAACCATTTATGTAAAATAATTTATTGATTACAAACTCTGCAGTTTCTACCAAAAAAAACAAACATTTTTTATAGAAAGAGTTATGTGCATGAATAATTTAATTATAGCGAATTTGATGCATTTTTAAAACCACATAAATTAATAAGTTGAATTTCTATATTACAAGAGGGTTTGCTGCATTACATCTATTTTTAAAGGAAATCATTTTATTATACTATATTTTATTTTGCGTCTTGATGCTAAGGATGTTTTTACTTGGACTGAAATTTATTGATGTAGTCTGGTCTGGTCTATTTAAGTCATGTTTGGTCTGATTTGGTCAGGTCTGAACTCTAAACTGGTCTGGTCTAGTAAATGTATGTATGGTCTTTGTGTACAAAGTATTTTAAGTGTGATATGATTTGATCTGATCTGGTCTGTTTAAGTCTAGTCTGACTTGGGACCGAAAACAATCCAACAAAAAACATCCCAAGTCCTTCAACCTGATAAGTAAAGTGAGTCTACAGTCCACATAAGAGTTTCCTAAGGTAATTAAAATTTAATGACAATAATATTTTTTCGATAAATTATTTAGTCGAAAACAGGTACATTTAAACTATTCTCCTAATACCTAGCTACGCATATACTCTGTCTATTAAATACGGGGTATCATACGGAAATGGTGGATTTTATTTGAAGATCATCATTTATTTCACTTCCTATTATAGTTAATTAGTACTGGAGTTATCATCATCAGTGAAAGTAGTTTACTGTTTTCTACAAAGGTTAAGTTTTTGCATACATTAAAAACTAAAACTACATTAATATATTGATATTGGTATGGATGGATTTAGGTGAGTGTTCCAGCAAGCAGCAGCATGTTCAGCTTTGTGACAGTGAGATGTGGGCACTGTAGCAATTTGCTCTCTGTTGCTATGACTTCTAATTTCCTTCCTCCTCTCCCTCTTCAAGATATAATCCAGGTACATACCCTCCCTCTACCTTGTGTATATCAAAGTCATATCGAAATACATGACCTAGAAATTCTCTCTCTAACTCTAAGGGCTGTTTGAATGGTTAAATATAAAGTGTATCCCAATAGCTCTAAGGATGTTTTTACTTGGACTGTAATTTGGTAGTCTGGTCTGGTCTATTTAAGTTTGGTTTGGTCTGGTTTGTTTAAATCTGGTTTGGTCTAGACATCTGGTCTCTGTGTACTCCCTCCGTCCAAAAAAATGTCCTACTTCCCCAAAATAGATGTCTCGAAATAAATGTCCTACTTCTTTAATTTCCTTATTTGGTAAACAAATCTATACCAAACAATGTCAAACAGTGTCGTTACAGTGTCAAACAGTGTCGCTACAGTGTGAAATCAAATTCATTTCCTTAATCTGTGTGAAGTCAAAGTAGGACATTTTTTTGGACGAAGGGAGTATTTTATTACTATGGAAGTCAAGTCTAGTTTGGTCTGATCTGTTAAAGTTTTGTCTGGTCTAATCCGTTTAAGTTTGAGATGGTCTAGTTTAGTTTGTTTAAGTCTGACATGGTTTGAATGGCAAAATACAAAGTGATCCAAATAGCTAGGTTAAAAGTTGCTCACTATCACTACGCTAAATTCATATATTTAGGTGTGGCTGCACGCCCCTAAGCACAACAAATTATACCGTACGACCGCTATACATGCTCATGGTATACCGGTACCCAGAACGACATCGTTTTTGTTCTTCTTTAGCCGGCTGCTATTCTTCTCCTTCACGGCTTTCTTTTTTTCCGCCATCCTCCGACGCACTAATTATTTTCCCGGCCAATTGTTGTTGTATATCTTATCTAGCTTCTTAATTACTTTTTGAAATCATGATTCGTATGTTATTATCACAGAGCAAAAAGCTTCCACCGATCGACTTTCCCTGCTTTCCCTTCAATCAATTTCTATTGCAATTCTTCCTGATTTTCCTTCTTCTTTTTCTTTCGTATTCTTCTTCAATTGTATTAATTTCCTTTATTTATTAAAATATGAAAAACATGATCACAATTATTTTTTTCCGATATTATATTTTTTACATGTTGAAGATGACCCCTATAAATTATTTTAGACCTTACTCAACTTACATCTTGCGCACACTCAAGTTATATCAGGATTTGCTTATGTTACATATCTAATACTGTGAGTTACATGTCAACTTTTCTTAGCAAGTTACATCTTGTTTACATTTGAGTTACATTTTCCAAAACACGTGTTACATCAGAATATAATGCGAGTTACACAACCCAATAAGCCCATGCTATTCAAATAAAAACTTTTTTTTATAAAAAAATCATTTTTATAACTTTGATATTAAAAACAAAACATATTCACTCTTTATATGTAACATAATTGGACAATTAGACTCTTTATTTTCATTGAAATCAAATTTTATTTCTTATAATACGTATTTGGTAAGTTACATTTCGACTGGATTTGAGTTACATTTATCAATAACGCGAGTTACATTTTATTACACACGACTTACATCACATTCTTTTCATGAACAATGAAAAACAAAAAAAAAGTTACTGTTCACGTGCGTGAATAGTAACACGCGAATTGGAAGCTGGAGGTTGTGCATGCATTATTGTGCACATTGTGTATAATCAAAATCAAAATAAGCTTTTTAGAAGCTGATTCTGATTCTGGAGGAGACTAGTTTTTGAAAACTGATTCTGATTCTGCTTCTGCTTTAAAACAGAATTAAAACACTCATTATAGTGCACATTGTGTATACGTGACTGTTGGTAATCTAATGGAATTTTCGAAAGACTCGAATTCACTTCTCTTAAGGGCAGAAGATGAGTTTTTAGAAATTCTGAATGAGTCCAAATTAGAAAATGAAATCAACTTTAGCAGATGATTAAGTCTTAATATACTAAATCAGCTCTAACTTTTCTAGGCCAACTTTTATATATATAACTCCTCAATCTGATCAGTGGAGTTAACGAAGCAAAATTACCAGTCGACTTTAAATACTGATCCGTAGATGAAAATCTACTCGAAAAACTATTTAAGCTAACACAGCTTACAATTTTAATTATATTATATTTAAAATTTAGGAACTTGTGGTATTTTACCAAGTGTTTAATATGTGGGTTCAAAAAAATCACAAGCGGATTTTGTACAAAGAAGAATGGATTTCAGAAGTATGGATATTTCTGTTCGATTTTCCACATTTTTTAAATTTTAAATTTCACAAGATTTTCCATTTTTAACCCATCGATTTCAGAAGTATGGATATTTCTGTTCGATTTTCCACATTTTTTTAATTTTAAATTCTACAAGATTTTGTTCACTATCCTTAAACTTTTTCCAATTTCTCCTCCATAATATTTTCCCGATAGAAGAATGTAGTGTTATGGTTTTTAAAAATGGAGAGATTTCCTTTCAAAAAAAGTGAGAGATTTAGAAATGAGAAACTAAATTGCTCATTATCCATTGTACGTAAGGGCTATATTCATTTTCCGTCATGAACCATACATTCCTAATTTTAATATAGCTGGAAAACTAGAAGAATCTGGTCGACCAAATTAAGCTAGGAACTGTTTCATAATAGTGCACTAAGTGACAACACTTTAAGAAAAAGTACACAAGTATCTTATGTAGGACTCCTATTAATAAATACAAATATCACACATACAGGCCAAAATGAAACACGGAAAAATATTAAAAGTAAAATACTAAAATGTACCCTTTTGCGTTTTTCATTTTCATTTTACTCTTGTCTTAATTTTGTCTTTATCATTTTCGCGTCTTTCCGGAAGTCTAGAGGTTTAGGGTCATGCCCTCCTCGCCCCCTCCTTTTATACAATCATATGCATTTTTATTACTAATAAAATCTTATTAGTAAACTTCAGCTCTTACTCCATGTGATTTGTCTTAAAAAACTGTTATTAACACCATTTAATCCTTGGCACAGAAGCAAAAATGGAACAATGAAGATGAGAGTGGGTCAACGGCTTCGAAACTCAACAAGTCAACAGCTATTGGTCCTCCAGAACATGATGAGCAACCTAGGCTCAGCCACATACGCCGTATGCCAACTTCCCTTTTTCTCTCTGCTTAATTATATTAATTTAACAAAGTACTCATTTAAAATTCAACCAAAAAAGGAAATTTAGCCAACCTTTAGAAAACAAAGTATTATTGTTTTCTTTATTAGTAGTATATGTTTTAAATATATGATTTTCATAATTCAGCAAAATCAATTAATTCAGCTCCAGGTTAGCCACAACTTCATGAATTTAAGAAAAAATAGTAAACCAATTTTTGGATTGAGTATGTCATGCTATGTCTACCTTGGATCTACGGCTTGGATAGGTGGGGTTCTTGAATAAAATAGCCCTAAGGTTTTTCTTTATGTTTAAGAAATTAAAGTAAGTTAGATATGCACTCAAGTATTGAAGCCTTTATTTGAGAGTACTGATAGTGATAGTGACAAATCATATGTATCCAAGTCAGTAGTGACACCAATTTATTGAAGCACGCATAGCATAGGGAGATGGGGATCCATCACTGCGTGCTCTGCATCCTTTAGGGCTACTGCCTTTTCTTGGCATAAAAAGGTTATTAGGGATAAGATCTGTCACATCCACCCTACCAAAAATCTTACTCTAATTAACAGTTGTCACTAAAAAAATTTCTAAATTGGAATTTTAAGGACAAAATAAAAAGTTAGGGGAAAATTATCAAAATAGGAGTAAAATCAAATATAGATTTTTGAAATATGGGTGCTATATGTTTTGCTACATAAGAGTAGTTTGCTAACATTTTGAAATTTTACCTTCACAATTATTTTGACATAATGACATTATTTTTCAAATGATAGTGATGGTTCTTATTTAAAAAAAAACATTATGATCATCCGTTTGATGATTCTGTTTTTCGTCTTATCAAACTTATTGACACATATTTTAACTAAACACGTAACTTTTAGCCACATATTTTTTACTTTAAATGAAAATGACAAATCTTTTTAGAACATCCAAAAAAGGAAATTTAGCCAACCTTTTCTTTCGGGATGGAGGGAGTATAATAATAAGAAAAAGTAAAATTGAAGTTACTTTTCTGACTGTATTGGCTGATGTTACTGTAGATGACCATTTTAGCTATTTTTCATATTTTTTATTTTAATAATAAAATATTTTTTTTAATATAATTTATTCGTAAGTAAGCGAATCAGCAATATAGACACTTAAGTCAGAACTTCAAAAATTTCACCAGAATCAAATGTTTTTTCGTTTCAAATTCTATGATCTCCTTACTAACAGTCACATTGCAAGTTCGTGAAAGGTTTTCGAGAAACGTCTAAAAGTATATATCTAGAAATATCAAACGTATTTCAAAGATATAATTAAAATCTCTTAAAATTTTGATACGCCATTAATATCATTTCTTTTAAAAGAAAACTTATAATTGTGATTTCTGAACTCATATGACTTATATGTTGATTGCCGTTAATATTACACCCCCGTCCCATTAAAATTGGGATAATTCGGTTTACGATGCTTGACCGACCATAAAACAAACAGATCCCTGTGCGCTCTCAAATTATTTTTAGGAAAAAAAGTTACAAATTCAGAAACCACATTAAAAGTTTTAAGAAGTCGCAAAAACTTGAATCAAATTTGTTTAAAAATTTTGATATATAAAGGAAAAGATTAAGACCAAGTGAATAGTATTTGAAAGAATCTTAACTTAGCCGAACGGAGAGAGTATCATTAAGAGGTGATCCACCTATCTAACTATCCAAGGATCTGAATTGACTAGTGCAGAGCAATTATAGTAAACTCTAATAACACTAGTAAGCTGAGCTAAATATAAAAAATGAAAACAATGTACTGAAAAATCGAAAAAATTAAGTTACCTATTAGCTAGTGTTTCTGCCTACCATAGCGGTAACAAAGATTATCTCGTTTTTGAGTCATTTGTGTGCATAAAAGTAGATTCAAACCTTTATTCAAGAATAATGAGGTCTATCTTTTGAATTCTAATAAACCGACCCATGGCTTAATTGGATTTCATTCTGATATGAATCTCTAGCTAGGTCTTAAAGTTTAAAGGGTTCGATTTCATTTTCTCATATAATCCGCATTCAAAATTAATTTAGATTGACAAAGACGGTAGTAAATAAAATTTTAGTAGTTATCAAGTTATGGCAGATCTAACCATCATCACACAAAAATTATCAATCAAGTTACTTCTAAATTGGTTAAAATAATTCTGTTGTGATCTTTACAAATTAAGCTAGAAATATTACAAATAAGTCTAAATAAATGAGATGTAGTTACACAGCTCATTGATTTAAAACGTTTACAAATAAGAAAGCTAGTATTAGGAAGATTGTACTAAGTCCAAATATTGTAAATAGCCTAGTCTTTGTACCGAATACTCGGTTAAGTGGTTAGCAGTTTGTTAGAGTCAACTGATCAGTCTGTTGATCAGTTTGTTAGACTCATTAGTCTATAAATACTTGTATCATTCCCTTAATTGAATAAGATTGATTTTCCCTATTTCTATCATGGTATCAGAGCACTGACTCGTTCCTCCATGACGAACTCAGACTCGAATTCCGTTTCTTCCAAAACTTCTGGTAATACCCCAACTCCGATCACATTCAATCATCCCTTACCTATCAAGCTTGATTCAAACAATTTCCTCCTATGGAAACATCACGTTCGTTCTGTAATTCGTGCTCACAAGCTTCTTAAATTTGTTGAGAAGCCTGAGATTCTTGAGAAATTCATCGCCGGTGAGGAAGCAAGTACAAAATTCGAGAATGATGCCTACGCAACTTGGGAACAACAAGATCAGATGCTTTTTTTGTGGCTTTTGGCATCGCTCTCTGAATCTCTTCATACACGAGTCATTCACTGTCAACACTCATACCAACTATGGAATGAAATCGATAAATTCTTTCAGGCGAAAATTGTTGCCAGAGCTAGACAGCTCATGTAACACCCCGGGCCTACAGGACCCGAGGTAGTTACTCCAGACCTCTAGTACTGTCCCCACAAACCACCACGAGCCTTTACCACACACTTTGTCCTCACTCATGCGCGCCCTGAGAAACTTCCCAGGGGGTCACCCATCCCAAGACTACTCCCGTGCGAGCACGCTTAACTTTGGAGTTCTTGGGTAATGAGCTCCCTTAAAAGGAGATGCACCTCTGTTGGTATGAGTAGTACTATTAATCCGTTTATATTAAATCTCAAGTGTTACAATCACCCCCACTTAGGATCGCAACGTCCTCGTTGCGCCCTTAAACCAATCTCAATCAAATCCCAGAATCTTTTCCCTTGCTAAGTGCCCGCCCGATTTCCAACGGATCAGCACACTGTCGGAAAGTTGCTCTGATACCACCTGTAACACCCCGGGCCTGCAGGACTCGAGGTAGTTACTCCAGACCTCTAGTACTGTCCCCACAAACCACCACGAGCCTTTACCGCACACTTTGTCCTCACTCATGCGCGCCCTGAGAAACTTCCCAGGGGGTCACCCATCCCAAGACTACTCCCGTGCGAGCACGCTTAACTTTGGAGTTCTTGGGTAATGAGCTCCCTTAAAAGGAGATGCACCTCTGTTGGTATGAGTAGTACTATTAATCCGTTTATATTAAATCTCAAGTGTTACAGCTCAAATCTGAGCTCTACTTTACCGGGAAGGGTGATCGCTCGATCACAGAATATCTTCTTCTAATTCAGAATATTGTTGACAGCTTGATGAACATTGGTGAGCCTATATCAACCAAGGACCATATCAATGTTATCCTGGAAGGACTTCCGGAGGAGTATGAATCGCTTGTCTCTTCTGTGGCTTCTCGAAGCATCTTGGATCTAGTAACTCTTACAGAGATTGAGTCGCTGTTACTGGCAAAGTAGTTACGACAAAAGAAGTTACGTGAATCTTCACAAACACTTTTTTCTGCTAATTTGGCTCGCGCGGAAGTTCTGACTCCAAACACTGAACCTGTTTCTTCACAAATTTCAGAAAATTCTTCTACAAATATTGCTCAATTTCAAAATCAGATGTCTGCTCCTCCCTACAGGGGACGTGGTCGCGGAGGCAACACCAGAGGTCGTGGTGGCCGTTTTGGAGGTCGGAATTCTGTTTCTTGTCAAGTCTGTGGTAAATCTGGCCACAATGCCTTGAATTGTTATCACAGGTATAACCCTGCCTATGCTGCACCTACTCCCAACTATAACAATTCAAATTCTGCAACCTCTAACCCTTGGAACCAACACTCATCATCCTCAAACTATACTAATTACCCTTATCCGCCACCTGCTTACCCAAATCCAACTCAATTTCACCACCCTAATTACCCTCAGTTTTCTCAGCAAACTGCACACTCAAATCCTCCAAATCATTGGAATCTTCAACCTTCTCACTCCAGATTTAACAACTCTACTCCAGAAGCTCTCAACTGGAATATGCAGTCTACAAACCCTACACCAACTGCAGCTGTTGTTACTGCTCATTCATCCATCCTTGGACCAGGACCATCATCTCAAACCTGGTTTCCTGACTCTGGAGCAACGCATCATGTGACCTCAGACCCTTAAAACCTTCAGCACAGTGAGCCGTTTGCAACAACTGATAAGCTTTTTATGGGCAATGGCTAAGGTTTGGAAATAAAGTCCATTGGACACTCTTCCTTTTCCTCACCTTTTCACTCTTCTCAATACCTTGCTTTAAACAATATTCTTCATGTCCCATCTATCACCAAAAACCTTTTGAGTGTTAGTCAATTTGCAAAAGACAACAATGTATTCTTTGAATTCTATCCTCATGAGTGCTTTGTGAAATCACAGGTTTCTAAACAGGTTCTATTACATGGCACTTGATGTGAGTTTTCTCGCACTTAAAAATGATGTAGTAAAGTGGTTGAAAGTACGAGTATCGTCTCCACAGGGACGGACAAAAGGGAATTAAAGATTAACTAAATTCAGCGAATAAAAATAAAATAAAATAAAATAAAATGCAAGTGTGCGAGATTGATTGAATAAAAATTAAATTAAACTAATGTG